TAAAGTGCTCTAAAAATGCAATATACACATATTCTTTCAGTGCATGTCTTCTTTTTAATAAGTCAGGCAACTTTTGCTGCACAGAACATATCGTGTAGTGTTTAGTGGTGCATTTTCAGACATGAAACATACAGTATTGCCTGTATACTCCTCTCCATATCTGGCGATTTACAATTTTAGTGTCATGAATTCTTCTTAAAAAACTATTTTTGATCATTTCTTACAATCTTTCCATTCATAGCCTAAAAATTCTCCAACTTCTTAGAAAATGCAAAGAAGAAAACTCATGAAAGTATTTAATAATTATAAACTGCTCAATGTAGCATTGCCTGCCAGCTTACTTGATCATTTTTTTCTGGTTGAAAATCATAATTGATTGCCCTTTTAGCAAACTGTTGTTGGGACAACAGCCAGCACCCATCCCATCCTTCTCCATTGTTTTTGCAGTGTGACAGTACATAAAAAGTATTTATATGAACAAAAACGGTCATCTCAGTTCTTCCATCAGTTGATCACTGGGGATTTAAACTCTCTCATAAGTCAAACTTCAATCATAGTGATCTCTTTTTAGGTCTAATAAGGCAAAACCGATTCCAATAGAGAGAAGAGTACATCTATTCTGCTGGCACATTTACAAGTATAACACATTTTTATTGAATTACATTCAAAATCTGTTTTAAAGATCACAATAGCTCTGAGAAACAGATGACTAACTCATCAGAGCAAAAAAAGAAGGATTTTTACATTCAGACATATGGGATTTTCCTTCTCTTGCGCTGGCCCTGCACATATTTTCCATTCATGACTGAAATTTTTTCAAAAGTTGGACTGTGTAAGGCTTCTCCATCTTTACTTTCACTTTAGACTAGGTAAATATTGTGGTGCTTAATGGCTAGCAATTCAGTCCCTGGCTCTTCCACATCGTGAGACGCCCTTAGCAAGATGCTGAACTGAAGTTGTTCCCGACAGCAGGTGACATCTTTGGACGGCACCGCTGTGCAATTTTGGGTGGACGAGTGAGGCAAAGTGTTGCAAACAGCTAATGTCATGCCTTACATTATCAAAGTTCAGTTATTTTAAATGAATCATGCAGCTAAACTATAGAGTTTCTGATGTGTGATTTGCCTGCGTTTGGTTGGGTTTGAAGGTTAAAGTGAGGATCGTGTCTTAGTATGAGATAAAGACTTGGGGAAAGTCCAACAACTCTACAGTGGATGTGATGGAAGCTGCAACACCAGAGCACTGTTTGAATACTCAAGAGGGAGCAATAAAAGGGGAGAACAAGAGAAAGCCTGCAGCACATTCCCCAAAAGACACTCACTTCCTGCCTGCGAGTCTTACCCAGCATCCAGGAGGAAGAGGAGGTTAAGCGCCCGCCCACACACACACAGACACACAAACCTACACCTCATCATTTAGATATAGAAACAAGCCACTAAAGGTCTATTCTACCATTTAGAATTTCTACACTGCTTAAAAATAAAATGTTTTCATTCCGTCCCACAAATTCAAAAATTGTGAACTAGTACCAGTATCTTCAGATCCCCTAGTGTCTAAAATAACTTCATTATAATGCTGAAAATAATTGAAAATTCTCTCAGTGTCATATGCAGCGGTTTTTCCATTTAGAAATAAGCCTAACCAATAGTGTGTGGTTTAGAAGCAGGAAAACAAATTAGTTCAGTGACGAAAATGATTCACTTAGTCTAATTGCAGGCTGCTGTTGCAGTTACTCAGCAAACATGTTGTTAGGATGTGTATAAACAGTGGCCCACCAGGAGCCGAAATTCACTCACAAACACAGCTTAACTCTAATCATTAGTAGTCTAAATGATCCAGAGCTTTTACAGTTGAGCCATGCATATTAGAGCACATAGGTAATACATGTGTGAAAACTCACGGAAAATCATGTTGCACTTACAGATGCATTCAATTTTGATAATTGGAGTTGGAAACAAATGTTACCTCTTTCCCACACTTGCCCCCAGTTTCTTAGTTTCGTGAGTTTGAATAGCGATGTAATAGGCACAAAAGTTCTCTTACACTGTTCCCTGCCCACACAAGACCATCCCTCTGTTAATGTCTCCAAGCCATTAACTTGGGAGTTCTATTTGCGGGTGCCAAGAGTACAACAGTAAATCCAGATAGCTGTTAGGGTGAGATTTTGTTGTCACTTTACACTCTATTTACTGATCTAAGCCCAGGAACCTGTGTCCCTGCCAATGCGAGAGACAGTAAATTTGTAATTGAAAAGCCGTTAATAATTTCCATTTTCTCCTGAAGCAAACTGTGCCAGAACAGGGGGATAGTAAAATGCGGCTGATTCGAACAGCAGGTTAAGTGTGTATCATGGGAATCTGTTTCAGTGCAAAGTCGTGGAGACGTGCTGGTGACTCACCAACATCTTTTAATGGGCACAGAGGGCTACTGGGTCACTTTTATTCACCAGAATTTATGCAACCCCTGACTAAAGGGCTCTCAGTAGGTTGATGTCCTTCTCTGACCCCTTACCTGTATGTTCTAAATAAAGCTAGGTTTCATACTGAGAAATCATTTGGAAGCCAATAAAAGCAAATGCACTTGTAATATAAAGCTACAGAGGGTCATATCCCATACCGGTGAATAAAATGCTTGGAGTTGAAACAATAGATTAAATGTACCGTATGAAAGCTTACTATATATATTATTCATTGCTGTTTCAGACTGGAATCTTTGAATTAAACATGATGAATATTTAACCACATGGTACGCAGGCAAGTGGTCATCTCTCATCTGCCTCAAATCCTCCCATCAGTTTCCCTGAAGATTAGTTGTGAATGCAGTTTCCAAGCAGTACTGTAAAAGTTTTCCATGTCTTTAAAGAAATGAAATAAAATAAAATGTATGCCAGCTGCTTACATATAATCTGTATTTTAACAAAGCAAAAATGCAAACAGTGTAGGAACATTACCTGAATCCGGCAAAAAAAAAAAAAGAAAAAAAAAAAAAAAAAGAATAGGTTATTGCATGATTTGACCCACAGCTCTTTCTCTGGGGTCAAAAACACTTAATTTTCCAAGAAAGAGAAGCCAGAGATACCTCACAGACAATAAAACACTGGGTAAAAATACACTGGAGCTCCCATAAAATGATTTCACTATGCTCCAAAACTCTGGCCTACAGAACATGATGTACCACATCAAAATCTACAGTCTATCCAATCAAAACACAGCCAGATGTTAGAATGCTCTGACCAAACGGGATGACGACAAAGGGGATGTGAATTTACACCTACTGAGCAAATAAATAAATAATAATAATTTTTAAAAAAATGAGAATATATGATCATGTAGGCTTAAACAAACTTTTGAACTTTTTCTATCCTAATGAATCGTCTGCAATGTTCTGCACACGCTTGGATTGCAAAATGTTTACTGCAAGATAACCAAGGTAGCTATGAGGAGACCTCAGATCTCGGCTTCAGATCAAAACCAGTGAAAATAACTGTTAAAGCACTGTGGTATTTAAACCTGCACCTACAGCTGACTATAAAGATCAAGAGTGGATCCCAACAGCCTTTCCTATTCTGCATCCTAGCTGCAATGTCAACATGTGCAGCGTCAGCCATGATGTCATAAAAGAGCAACTGGGAAACAAGAGGTTGGCAAAGATAAAAATCTGACAAACTGTACAGATTACATATGGCATACGCACACGCAGACACACTGCATGACGTGGCGTGCGGTGTGTCCGGAACACTCGGATTTAGGGCCAGCCTCTAGCAAAGTTGTTTTCCTGGAAGAGTTGGGGATGACATGGAGCACTGAGGAATGTACAGAGCAGTTAGGCAGCAGCAAGGACTTTCTCAAGAGGGAACTACGTGTGTGCATGTGTATGTCTGTGTTTTTAGTATAAGGGATGGACTTCAAAACCTGCCTCTTTTCAGAGCCTAGTTCCAGTTAGGACAGCTCAGACTAAACCGATGAACCGCATTCCCCAAGTTAAAGTCTTAAAAAAATATTAAGCAATAGTCATTACTGCTGTCAACACACACGATATAGTGTCCTTGACAGCGTTTCAACATGATTATGACTGATAATATTCCTCCTAAAGTCTTGTTTGGCTGCTCATCAGATCCAAGTCACTGCCTTCCTGTGGAAATGATAAAGAATCCAGCCCACTTATGTAATGCTCTAATATTCCACACTCCAGCGTTTTGAAATCTGTGATAAATTACATCAACCTTTTGAGTTTCCAGGGACCTCTTAACTCTTAACTGAGTCTGACTGGGCCTCTCTTTACAAGCCTGTCATCGCTTGTTTAAGTGTTCATTGTCACTTGCACGTCATTAGGAGAGATCCCACTTTTAACTTTTCATCAGGATTCTGTTGTATTGAAGACAGAATGGATCACACAGTGTGATGCAATTACAGCTGTTGCTACTGGATTTGTTTAACGCTTATGGTAACTAATCAACTTCCAGTTTATTATTTTCTAAAAGTCAAGCAAAGGTTTTGCATCATGCAGACTATTTTGCAAAGAGCCAGACACTCAGTTTACTCTACAAACAAATGCAGACTGCAGTAGTTGCTGCAGCGACAGCCTGTGGCTGGAGCACGCAACTACCCAAAAAAAATACCTTCAATGATGGTTAACCGACTTCTTCGACCTTCTGTTTGTTAAGGTGCAAAAATTAAGAAATGTGGACGTCCATTTTTCCAGGGCTGCCCACAGCTTCTGAGTGGTTAGCTATTACGCTGTTTTCTTATGTCCACGCCATTAATTGGAAGTCAATAGCTAATTGGCGCGGCCCATTTGACTTAATTGATTTTTCTCGGATTAAGCAAATGACACGCTCAAATTCCCCGAATAAGAGGCCTGAAATTTAAACAACTTCGAAAAAGTTTGATTATATGAGTCTAAAATAAACAAAGGGCCGGGCGAAAGCTGCTTCGGGATGCAAGGCATTGTTCGTTTAAATGTTTAAGCTATCTAACTTTGCACATGGCTAATTTTATTACCTAATAACATGACTTCCAGCTTTTTACGGTCCACCCGAAACCTCTCCTCAGTCCACTCCGGGTCTGGCAGCGAGTGAGGGCCGCTGAGATCTTCCTCTGAGCCCGGCAGAGGAGAGTCTGCGCTGCGCTCGCTGTTGGAGCCCTGGTCCGACTGCTGCAAGTATCCGCTTAAAGCGTCGCACTGGGCAGCCATTGTGCTGCACGGAAACTTCTCCAGCGGCCACTGCGTTTAACTCAAAGTTAGGTCGAGTAGCAGGAAAGCGCCGTTACTTCTGCTACTTTTTATTCCGTCACTTCGAGTCGTTGTGGAAGCTCATCTCAACGCAGTTGTGACCTTCCTCTGCAGTTTTCTTTAAGCTCCTTCGTTTCCCCCCATTAGGCAGGCTTCTAAAAATAGGCAGGCGCACACGGAACCACTCGCTATAGGTTGTCTGGCGAGTTAACGGACGGCTACAGTACACGCACCAAACATACCAAGCAACTCCTCAGGAAAGTTTCACGTGTCATCCTGCAAAAAAAGCGGGACTCCTCCCAGAAACTTTTCTCGAGGATCTATACCTCCCCCTGGGTTCCTGAGAAGTTCCCCAAACTTGAATATGTGAGAGTTTTTGGTTTTGATTTGTGTTTATGCTCGTAAGGGCACAACTTGTATGTCTCATTTATGGGAAACTGTTGAGGGATTATATTGCCATTTATAGCCACGGAAATCATAGTTATTATGAGTCCAAAATTATACTAAATTACCAGCAGACGTGACAATCAAGTCTCTATAAATAATTAGACACAAAGACAGCTTTGACGTGTGTATAAACCAATTTTGCTGTGACTTTTTCCCCTCCAAACAGCCCTAGGCAAACTATCTATTGGTTTATAGAGGAAACACTAGAGTGGGAAAGGGAAGTAATACAGGAAAGAGAAAACAAAACAAAAGGGAGTGTAGAGGTCACTCAGTAATGCCAGCTATGGACATCCAGAGTTATTCATATTCACTGATCTCAGAGGTTTGTCCTCTACAACAGGAACAGCATTGCTAATCTTTATTTTGATTTAAATGTAAGGTGCCACTTAACGCTGTGCTTGCCAGCCAATTCAGACATAACAAACCTCCATGTTAACAACCCTAATGTGGCAGATGGAGCTTTTATCACACTGCAAACTAATAATGTAGCCGCAGGACCACGGTTCTTGGCCTAATTCGTTTTCCAACTTCTTCCTGAGATCTGGGATTAAAAGTGGTAATTATTAAGTACCTGACAATTTAATTTTAGTCTTATGAGAGAAGTTTTAACTGCATTTCTAAAAATGCAGATGAGCTTTGACATCTGTTCCCTTGAGCTAAACTTTCAAAAAATTCTGTCAAGGGTAAAGCAACCACCTGAATGTCCTACATGCTTATTTAAATGGTCAGGAAAAAAACACTAGGATGCTTGTTTCTTGGCAGGCTGTAAGAGTTATTAAGACCAAGACAATCCAGTTCAGGGTTGTGGAGGGTTGAAGGTGGGTGGGGGGCTGGAGCCTCTCTAACACAGAGACAGACAACCATTCACACCTACAGCCAGTTTCACTGGATTCAAGCACAGGACGTTGTTAGTGTGAGACAACAGTACGAGTAGTCTTCTTTAGACTATTAGTAAATCCAATAGTCTGAAAAAGTCACATCAAATATTGCTTTGATGTTTTATCAGCTTACTGTGCAACTATTAGGTTTTCTTAAAAACAACCTTTAACATCCAGAACAATACAAAATGAGAAAACAAAGTCTGAATTATTTTTCATTGGAGGAATGTTGTATTTACTGCAGACTAAAACCAGACTACATCATCCATGCAGAATATGTTTATGGTAAATAAAGTAAAAATGCACAAAGAAAGCCATTTATATCATTATAATTACTGACATATGCACAAACTGTGCTTTTCTCTCTTGATCCATTGGCAAAAATTGCTTTATTTTAAAATGCAGCAAGATTTAAATCATTGACAGAGAGGCTCACACTTTATGATAAAACTTCTAAGTGGTTTGCAAATTGAAGCCATTTTGTGAAAGCAGTGGTTATAAAATAGTGTAATAACAGCTGGGCAAACATGCTTGAGTTCGATTTTAAACAGGAAGTGCTCCACTTATATGGAGACACGAGCTTCATCAGCACAAAGGAAGGAGCAGAGGTGATGGTAATGGGTGGTCTGATTTCAATTGACAGAACAGGCCTCATTTTCAGTTCATAGCCAGAGCAACACTCCATAATAGCCACTATCCACACAATTAACCATTTAGCAAATGGGCCTGAATTAAATGTAACACAAACATGAATATTAAATTATCCACCAGAAATGTTTGGCAAGTAAAAAGTAAAGACTGCCACCTAGTGGTCAGGTTTATGACACCAAGACTTGGTTGTAGAAATGAAGAGTTATCACTGAACCATTTTCAGTTTAGTTGTGAGTACTCCTGAGAAACAATTATAAATTCACTTTTTGCATAATATTTTAATGCAAAAAAAAAATCATGAAAAATAAATTCAGTACCATTCCATACAGCAAAAATGTAAAAGAACCTCCCCAAACTTCCATCTCATATATAATAATAATAATAATAATAATAATGCCAATTTAAGAGAATAAAATAAAATAAACACTAAAAGCAGTTAAGTCAAGTAAGGTCTGGGTAGAGAAAGTGCTTCAAGCATGTCAAACACCTGAATTAGAACCAGTGAGGATAAAGCAATTAAACAGTCATATTCTGAGGTGTTGAGGGATGCGTCTTTGCAGCTGGAACATCAGTCCTTCACATTGCATACCTTTGGGTCCATTCCCTGGCAATTTTGTTGTACCTAAAGAGAAAGAAAATCATGTTAAGAGAACTGTGTACTTGTGTAATTGTGTTTTCTTAACAATCGGCTTTGTACTTACTTTTGTCTGTCTGATTTATAAATATGCGCGATGTCAGGGACTAGGGGATCATCTGGATTAGGGTCACAAAGCAGTGAGCATATGGATAATAAAACTGTTGAAACAAAGACACATAAGAAAATAAATGGATTAATCTAATTTAATTAAATCACCATGGTCACTTTAAGAAAGTTTATTTTTATTTTTTCAAGCTCCTCATATACACAAGAATAACTCTAAATTTGAAATACAAATAAATGAGCTTTGATTTGATGTACACTGACATCAAAATCCTGTTAGTGTAGGTCTTTAGTAAGTGTATTTAAACATAAAACATGCATTTGATATTTTTCTGACAGAAGTGCACAGAGTGCAGAGGTCACATTTCTGGATAATCAACCCTAAAAAAATCCTATTACCCATTTTCCTAAGGGCTAGAAATCATTCACTTGGAAGACTCCAGACTTCGTGACAAGACAGCGGATTGCTTCAATGCAAACTGTGTGCATTATAATGCATTATGCTCATCTTTGAAATTCCCACCTCATGTTATGTTTTACCCAGCATTTCAATTAACTGTTAATTATATTGATTTATTTAAAAAGTTTCATTTCCTGTGATTTCAAAATAAAACGGATGCAAAACAGATACAGATCTGACATGGCACTGCTGTAATTTATCCATCCACACTGATACATTTACATTTTCAAATAACACTGCTGCAAACTCGCTACCTTTGTTTATATCTGATAAGGCACATCTGTATGGAGACAGCAGTAGCATGAAAAAAAATCCTATATTTAATTGCACAACATTTACTAGCATAGACAACAGGGTCAGTACTGACTATGATTAGTTATCCATGCTAACTACTAGTAATCAATAGACGTCTTTGTTTCCTTCTCTAGACTGCATAAGAGTCGGGACCGCCATGAAGTCATCGACAGGTTAATCAAGTTCCTTTGTGAAGCTACAAGATGAATGTTTTTGTTGTTGCAGAAAGGTGGATCTGACTAACTACATGCCAATGAGAAAACCCTGGTTTATCCTCCTTTATAAATCTTTATATTTACCAAAATTTAAAAAAAAAAAACTTTTATGTTTTATTTATATAGTATAACCTGAAAACTGCAAAGTATTGTATAGCAAAGCATGGGAACTGAGGGCTGTTTTTTTGTGGATTAAAAGTGCCTTAAATGCAAGTTTAAGGCACTTTGGAGTTGTTCAGTTTTTAGAACTGGAAACTACAGCCATCTTTTACACCATTTTTTTTCATGCGAAGGAGGATGACGAATTAGGGCAGGACAGGTAGTAAGTAGCTGCTGTCCTTACTTCAGCTGGAGCACAAGGTCACAGGTAGTGATGAGCGGCTCGGGAGGAGCATGTGTTTTAAACGGCCAAGAAAACCTTGGCATACAGGAGGACATCTCTCTTAAAAAAGCATGTAAGTGTCAGAATGATTAAGACTTATACTGTCATTGCTCGTATCAAACAGGTAGACCATCTTTAAATAATTTAAACATGGCATTGTTGCTTGGCATCAGGAATTGCCTTGCTGAATTTGTATTAGTCATATGGTAAAGGTAGGCGTATACCCCTTTTCACTGAATCCCATGTATGCGCTGACATGCTGTTAAGTAACGTGCAGACTCCAGCTACTGGGTGTAATATAAGCACAAGTCAAGATAATAATGCTGGAATCCAGTTATAAGAGCAAGAGCAGATATCCTGAGTGCACATGAATTTCTAAACTAAAACTGCTTGTCCATGCTAAAACACAAAACAGGATGAACAGTTAATCCAAATCTCTCAGTTTTAGGGGTCCTTAAAAACCAGAGTACAAGTAAATGTATCAAATACAATGAATCATAAAGCAAAAATGAATGTGGACATGGATTTGGTTACCTTTTGATACTGTAAGTGCAGGTGACCACTGTGACCTCAAGATGTCAAGGCAAATGCTACCATTGCTGTTTATGTTTGGGTGATAGATTTTCGTAGTAAAGGCAACCTGTAAATAAAAGCAAAGCACAAATGTGCAAAATTAGCTATAATTTAAAAAACAAATACTGTAATAACAGTATTTTTATTTAAAAGATACCATTCATTTTCTGAATACAACTGGATCTAATAACAATATACAATATTCATTAATCATTTACTCTATACAGTGACAAAAATAGTGTTATCGGTATAGTATAGTGTAGTACTTCTGAGACAATTAGTCTCAAGAACAAATACACTTACCTTTGGTGGTTTAAAGGGATAGTCAGTGGGGAAATGCACAGAAAGGAAGAAAACTCCTCCATGATATGGGCTATCATTCTGAAATAAAGTAGAAAACTGGTTTAAAGTCATACCCAACACTTCTTTCTTAATTACAGGGATATAGTCACCGGTGATACTATCACTATATCTTACCACAATATCACAGTAATGTCACGATCCTTGATGATCAAACAATTATAAGAGCAAAAAGCAGGCATTGTGTATATATCGGCAAAACTAGTTGGAGCAGACTAGTGTCAGGGGGTTCCCGTGCCTCTCGTCCTATGATAGCGGGGATAGGCTCCATTCCCATGTGATCCTGATAAGGATAATTGGAAGAGAATGGATTGATAAAACTGGAAAGCCTTCAATTTTCTATCCCTGTTTACTGATTTATGCCCCCAGAGAGTTTTGTCACAAGAAGCTATTCAACTTTTGCTTCCTTCACCCTCGGTATTTTAAAAAGTCTCTCCATTTAAAAAAACAACAACTATGAAATAGTGACTCTATCGACTCAAACTCACATGAGGATGCACTTTAAAGTGACTACATGTTTCAAAAAAATTTTCGACACTTGCCATCAGTGTATCGATAATGTGTTGCATGAGAGATACAATATATGGCCTCAATAATGACCTGGCCTTCAGTGAATAGCATCAGGATAGAGTGTGCCAGTCTGTGCTGGCCATAAAGAACAGAAAGGGCTGTAAACTCCACATAAAACACTATTGTCTAGAGATCCAGAAGCAGCTTGGTTTAAAAAGAAAATGTCCAGGAATCATATCCAGAAAAAGCTCACCGGTCCTGTGATGGTAGCTTGCCAGTGAAACACTAAAGAAAACAACGATAAAGAAACAGCATGTGAGCATACAACACAGTCCCAAAAGACACAACTAAACTTTGAGACATGACTAAAAAGTAGCAAAATTAACCAAAAGTCACACTTACTGTCTTCCCCAACAGGTCCAGCAGAACATGAAGCTGGAGGGTCCCTCTGTAGGTCATTTAACTCCTGAAAAAAATCAACAGTTTTAGAGTTTGTCAGCTTGTGCACTGATTAAGAAGCAACACAAGCGTTACATTTTGTTAGACTGTATATTAATGTGGGCAAACTACCCTCTAAATCTAACAAAACCACGACTACAACCGGCAGCGGGTTTGGATTTAGGCTAATAAACCTGCAAAAATGCACAACATGTCACACGATAAAACCCCGGCCCTTTCTCAAATACTTGATCCTAAAGAGGTTTATCAGTCTCTTCAACACGGCGACAGGCATACACCCAACAATAGCATAACTTAAATATCACAAAAGAAAAGCCTGGCTGAAAAAAACAGAAGGATTGTTATTCCATTTCTGTACCTGTATTGGCTCAAATGACTTGCAGACGGTAAAAAAGAAATACTGACAATTGTTCATTGCGAATTTAAAAACATTATAAAACACTGATAACGCTAGCAAATATGCTGTAAGACAACCGACTCGCTACCGTTAAAGCTATGTTTCCGCATCGCTCCGACCTGTACACCGTACATCAAACAAATTATGTAAAAAAACGATTATTTTCTTTACCTTCTGTATTCTCTTCAGAGCCATGGCTAGTCTTTTAGATCGTTTGACAGACGATAGATATTAACTTTGACAGCTGTCAGCACCAACTACGCTCACTTTCTGCCGACTCGGTGTTATCTGTTTTGACAAACTGATTGCCTCTATTGTTTCCGCGTTTTTGTTGAAGAACGGACCGGTGCATTGTGGGGGTTGGAGTCTTTAGTCAAGCCACTTAAAGGGACCGTTCACCGAGGAACAAATCATCCTTTAAAATTGACTCTTCTTAGAAATTAGTGAACAATTAACTTAGCAAACTTACTACTACACCTTATGTATTCTTTCTTTACTGATATTATGCAGCGGTTTATAACAACTGATTACGTATTTTAATACAGTTAAAAAAATAAAACTTTACATGCTTTCATATTTTTTAACTGTACATAATTTCAGATGAGATTAATAAAGTATTCTGATGCTTTTGGTGTCTAACTTGACAAATAAACAGCTTGCTAGTTTGTTGTTAAAGGATATGTTTGACATGAAGGTGCTTAAGTATGTCATTTACTGCAAGTGGGGTTCTTTCTTTTTGAAAATTACCTTGATATTACAACTTAATGTCTGATTTTTGGGGAACATGTTTGAAACTGAACACACACAAACCTATTTGGAGCTAGTCAGAACTCACTATGATGTAAGTTTCACTGAACACTTAAGGATATCTTGGGACTCTGTTGATTACAACCAAACAATAAAGCATTGGAGTGTTGATCAGGGAAATAAATTATATAATCAGTAGCATGACATATTGTTCTATTAAAATCTTGCACATCAAGATATTTGTATTGGGTTTTTTTGGTTTTTTTTTTTTTTTTTTACGAATTAGATAGTATTAAATCATAGAATATTAAAACATAAAACTTATTTGTATAACATAGAATAGGAAAGTAACAAAATAGCAGAAGATATTATCAAACAATCACGATGTGGAGCAGACTTTCTGCTTTACTTCAAAGGATTTTATGAAAAATATTTTTGCAAATACAACCATTTTGATACATGGTAATCTATATAGGATGTATACATAGTTTACATACTACAGAGATTAAAAATAAATTAGACAAACTAACATAATTTTCTGTTTTTTTAAAAGCCCATTGCTGTTACTGTTTGCACTCTGAAGCACTGTCCAATCAGTTTTGCAACATTTGGCTGGATCTGAGCAGAAAGTATAGCAGTGTACACTTTACTATACACCCTGCTTCTTCTATTATCAGACATCATAAATAAACACTAGTGACCTGTCGAGCTGACACATGCCATAACAGTAAAAGTCTGCACTTCAATCACATCTTATTATCTTATTATTGTTATAAACAAAACAAAAAAAGATGTAATTATCAGCTTATTATGACACCTACATTTCTAACACTTACTGTAGTCCTGGGGTTCAAGGCTTAGTGACTTTTTTTCCCCTAAATCACTAATAAGATGAAAGTGATTTGTAGTTTAAAGTACTTTAACTGGTCAGTAAGACTAAAAAAGTGCAAAATAAATGCCATTTCATCCCAAAGTTACATTGTAGCTTTATCAAATGACACTAAGGGCAAGTCGGAGCCAAAATTGTAACCGAACCCCCACCCAACCCAGGGAAAAAAATTATATATATAAATCTAGGGTCCATGAAAGATTATAAAGAAGCAATTAAAGAAACGCAAAGCCATGAGCAAATATGACATCACTTACCTCATTATCAGGTTTGAAAACCCGTTATTCAATTCAATTTTAGATTCAGTTTTACTTACATAGCATCCAATTCACAGCAACAGTCACCTGGAGGCGCCTGTTACCTCTACAAAGTTGCTATAGCAGCATACCGATGACTGTAGCACATTTTTCACAAATCTGCAGCTCACAGGAAAACAGGGAATGGACTGGATGTTTGGCCAACCTTGTAGAGTGGTTGATTCCTACGAGAGCAAAGAAGGAAGGACTGTAGAGAGATAAGCATACAGTTACATACACTAGGAGAAAGGGCACATCTGTCATCTTTCACGCCTGGATTGTTGCATACCACAAAGCCACAGAGTGCATTTATTTATTCATTATCACTGCAGCACTGGACATGCCCAGTCATATAAATTTATTGCCGGTATATCCCAGTTCTTACACTTGCAGTGTTATAAAATACAAACGGTGAATTTGACTGAAACGCCATATCTTATTATCGTTTAAAGCCGTACTGCATACCCTCAGCTATTCGTTTTGGTGAGAGAAATACTCATCCGCTTCTTTGGGCAGAACAGGCAGATTTGCAAAGGTATTGTAAAAATGAATGTTGGCCTAAAATTAAGCTGACCTCGACGTTTGCGTATACATCATTCTCCCCCAAACAAGCACAAGATTTGTTCAAGATTTGTTTGACTTTTGGTTTCGCCAGCTCGTCTTTCAGTTTATTTTTATACTGTATGAACTTTAAAATGTCAACAAAAACGTAGGCGTTACCTAAAGACTTTAAATGTTCTTTAGTAGTCCAAGTTTATTGTTTATTGCCAGTAAAAGTGACAGTATAAAGAGAAAGTAGTTAGACTATTTATTTGGTATTGGAATATAAGTAGTGAGACTTTAATATAAATGTAATGTAATTCAGGATGGTTTCATTTACCTCACAACAACGCTTCATGGTACACTTGTGATGTATCATAAGGCATATTACTACGTCAGCGCTGTATAATTCTTGTGTTTACTGCAGGGCTAAATGGTATTTGTTCAGTTGTTCATATTCAGTCTGGACAACAGCTAAACGAGTTTCTTCTTATGGCACAGAAAATTGTAGTGTCCTCTCATGACCTTTGCTATAGATTGCAGTTGTATCAATATTAATAAGCTATCGGTTTAAGATGCCTTGTCCTGGTTTTCGCAATGAGCATTTCGCTGCAGTGCATAGCAGTACAATCTTAGCTTGAAAAAAATAATAGCTGTATGTCTCCAAAACGGGTTGTAATTTATTCCTCACACGCGATTGGTCATAGATCGATGCGCGCTCTCGACGCTCCGGGGTGGCGCGCCCGTGATTCTGAGCACCGCTTGGAAAAGAGGAGATGAGAGACTGAGACAGAGAGCTGTACCACACCAAGTGTCCGCCGAATGTCTGCCTCCTCACGTTGCCAATGAATACCCCTCGCATTCCTATGTCTGCCAGTTGACATACTGAAAGCAAAGGACAAGGCTTCCATCCCTGCAAGGATTCAGGAGTCCTACAGCGGGCTGCGTGTTTTTTCAGGTAAGCGCCCCCCTTCTCCTCCCGTGACCGACGTCGCTGTGTTTTCTGTGTATTTAAGCGGCGTCCAAGAAGATAAGGGACGCGGGCGTTTAGCAGTAGCTGTCCAAGGTGCTTAAACGGGCAGTGGCTTGTGGTAAGAAAAGCCCGATATAGTAAAGCCAACGGCTTCATGTTAAGAGCGTGTTACATGACTTCGCTGTTCGTGTTGCAGTCTAAACCTCCCAAGGATGTCGTGTGGGTGTCGTAAAGGGAAGAAAGAATGATGAAGCTGTAATGTGCATACCATATCCATTACATTTGCACAGTCTTGCACATTTTGACTATGGCTACTACATCCGAATGCACGTATCCAGGCTGCATTGTAGAGTAGCCTGCCTCCTCCAGGGACCGTGTGTTGTTTTACTGCATTTACCACTGCCAAGGTCTATAATTCACCTTATCTTGCTATTGCAACCTTAGGATGCATCCGTAGTATGTGCCATGTAGGGCGTGAGAGAACTCTCCGATGTAAACAAACGGTCAAAGGTGATTGCCGTTTTAGACTGTGCTGCACAGCGAATTCATCTGAGGCAAGAGTGACAGTAGGCTAGTCCTTCCATTTACCTATCATTGCTTTTCAAGTTGAACTTTTGTCCCATTCAGTAGGAATGTGTACTGTACCAGTAGCCACACTTTGTGTTAAAGCAACCACCTTTTTCTTAAAAATGTCCTTGTCAAGACCTTGTGAAATGTCAAAACACGTAGCCAAACTGGAGCAATGAACATCTGTTCCCTTTTGAAGTATCAAATACACTGAAACACGATGCAGACCACAGGCGTGTAAATTGCTCTCTTTTGGCAAAGTCACGTTTAGGCTTCGTTGTTCTTCTGACGTGCCAAAATATCCATTCTGTCCACAACAGGAGCACCTGACATTTCCTCTGGCAGATTTACTAGCTGGATCATGGCACAGACCAACAGCAGTGGGCAGGGGACCAATGGGGTAGCAGATGAGTCCCCCAACATGATAGTGTACAGAAAGGTAAGGCAGCTGCTATTTTTAGTCTGCATGTGTGAGGGAGATCGTAAGCATGTGTGTCTCTCTTGCATCAATTTACTCAACGATGAGCCATGCAGTGGCAGTTGCTAGCACTAATGGCAAGGCAATGTTTTTGTGGTATGGCTGGTCTAGGATTGAGATGTTACAAATGCTTAATGAGAACACTGAGAGTTCATTCAGTTATTCTCTCACAACATACATGAAGTCAAGTGTACAATAATACTTGTTATTGCATACACACTGGAGCTTTTTTTTTTTTTTTTAAACAAACTTACATTCATTTAAAAAAGAAAAAGAAAAAAGGAAGCCCAGGGTTTTAATCCGCAGCACTGGTGTATTTCCCTACTCATTGTGCTACTACAGTCAACACTTGGGAGAGGGTTTGGAGTGAACTGTCACACTGTTGAGACATCTTGATCCAGCACTGCTTAGCCATTAAACAGTTACATGAAATCATAATAATCTGCAGGCAAGGTAACATGTTTGTTTTGAGAATTGAGTTACAGTTTCTTAGAGAAACTCTGACACTTATATTATATTGCATCACACAAATATGAAAGGTTATGTGCACTGCTCCTTGGGTGCACTGATTTAGATACAATGTTTCCTTTGCTTTGAACATAAACAGTAAGGCTAGATATAAGATTAACCTACAAATAAGCCATTTAGAAAATTGCTTTTGCTACCACCAGGAGAGGATTCTGTTCCCTGGTGGCACTGCCATTGCCTAATAGCTGGATTTTTCTGATGTTTTTCTGCTAAACATTGCTGTATATGTAAGCAAAATCCAATGCTTAATATGTAAGTGCTGCTGGATTTTAACTCACAGTGACCTGCAAATTGATTAAACATATACAACAACAGTGGCTTGTTTCACTTTGCTCTCTCAGATGCAGCAGTGAAGTGATAATTTTCTCATCTTACTTGTGGATGACTCAACCATGGAGTGAATGTCTTTATTTCATTCTATTCACCCATCAGCAAATGCTGTTCTATCTGCAATAGCCTCTGCACACCATGGAAAGGATACGCTTAGCATGGTGTCATGGATTGACGGTCTTTTATAGCACTCACAGCGTGCAAGGCAATATTACTGCCAGTGTGGGTGAAGACTTGCTGGATGTGGTGCGATGTTTGCAGCAGGAAGGAGCGCTTTGTTATTTAGGAACTTCCCAAAGTAAGATGACAGACTCAGAAGCTAGATTGTTCGTTAAACAGGCCAAATATTGAGGGCAATTGAGATGGATGGGTGCATGCGTCTAGTTTTGTCAGTTCAGTCTGTGGCGACAGGGGAAGAAGTCTGTCATTAAATTTCATTTCAACATGGCAGAGTATCACAATATGCCAATGCATGGAAAACTAGCCACATCCTGATTTGTGCATCAAATATTGATTGATTTGAGGTCTTTCCATCTATTTAGTTCCATGTGATGTTGTTTCAGTTCTCTTGATATTGATCTGTTTCTTTGATTATACTCTGATGTTTCTGTGACATAGGCAACCTTAGTGTGTGTCTTCACTTGGGAGCTTTTACTATAAATTCAGCAACTAAACTTTGTGTTTTTTAGAACTATCTCTTTTTTTTTTCAACATAATGAGGGAAGACTAATTTCAGACCACTCTGTTTTATTTATTTATTTTGGCCAGACCGATATCTTAGTCATAAAGCTTCTTCACTTCACACCACTTGACCACACATGGTCACAGTTTGCTTTTGTACATCAACTGACCTAGATACTCTGCAGAATGAAAGGCTGTGGTGAAGCCAGGAAGGACGAAGTCCTGTTTCTAGAGTGGGTTTAACACAAACTGGAACTGGAGGAGCACTGTCTGTATAGACATGCGGATAATGCCAGGATGAACAGGCGCCCTAAATGCTTTTCAGATGGAGATGACTTGGCAGAGGTGTTGCAACCCACACTGAGAGGGCAACACTGAGATGAGCTAAATTCTCAAGTGGAAAACATTTTATTCTCCATTTTCCTCCGCAGACTTCTTCTACATCCATCTCATAAATACATAATAAAAACTCTTAATAAAATCTTGATTGTAAGCAACTGGCCACGTCTGCTTGACAGTTGCTAGTAGTGTATGTGGAATGATTATGTAATTGAGCAGAGGGAGTTTTATGCTTGATGACAGGAGATAGTGGTTTGATAGTCAGTCCACAGGGAGCATAACTATATCCTTTTTTATTCTCTGAATCTTTCTCTCTGGCACATCCGCCCCTCCACTCCTGTCATTAGCATCTAATGAAAATGGATGGTTGAGCCGAGGTGTTGACCTGCTCATTGTGGAGATGTGTGCAGAGATGCCTGTTTTCTTCAAGGACGCATGCACTTAAACGCCTTGCTTAGATGCATGCATGGATGTGCTGAAAATTGAAAAACATGCACACAGAAATAGTTGCAGAAATACAAGCACAAACACGTGCAGCTGGCTTTTTGATAAACTGATTTATTGGCAACAGCAACTCTGAAATTTTACACAACCACTGCTTGCATGTAAAGCTAACACTACGTAAAATGTCCCCAGTTTATCAGAAATGCCAATGAAATGTTTAATCAATAGAGTCAATAAATAATAAATTAATGCTATGTGTGGAACCTTGCGTATAATAGCCTCTTTAATGTCTGGCTGCTCAAACATAAAACAATCGAGGCCAATATCATGAAGTGTTCCTGGGTTTTCTCAATATGTGTATTTTCATTTCTGCTCACATGTGCACGACATAAATGATACTCTGATGTGTGTGTGAGCATGTGTGTATTCTTTATGTAGGGCGAATGTTGCTAAGAGAGAGTTCTGAATTTTTTATGCGAGCCTAAAACAGCTCTGGTTCACAGCCACTCGGTATGAGGAGGGAACATTATCTCTCATCAGCTCGAGCTTTGTGTGTGTTTGTGTCTTCGTATGTGTGTGTGACTATGTATGTGAAATCTCTATCTATCTATCTATCTATCTATCTATCTATCTATCTATCTATCTATCTATCTATCTATCTATCTATCTATCTATCTATCTATCTATCTATCT